CGGGGTGGTTCAGGGCTCAGAGCCAATCCCAGGGCGAATCTTGGTGCCCTCACTCACTGGCTGTTTGACCTTGGTTAGGTCAGCTGGCTGGTCTCATAGCCTCAGACTTGCAACCATTGTGTTTTTTTTCTTTTGTTTCCACCCCTATTTATTTACCTTCTAAATACTACCAAATCCATACTGATTTTTCTCAGTTCTCTGAAAAAGTAAAATTCTTTTCTACATAAGGACGTAGTTTACCCCCTTGGCTTTAAACCAAGCTGCTGTCCTCTCTGAGCCTTAGCAACAGGGATAACAATAGTGTGTCCTTCGTAGGGCAGCTGTGGATGCTCCACGAGCTCCTGCAATAAAGGAGCTGGGTAATTCGGCCTCCACTCTTCTCAGTATCCTTGTTACTTTTACTATTATTCACAGTATTTTTGTTACTAGCTCTTAGAACCTCATGGCAGCATTAATAGCACTTGGGTTGAAGCCTCAAAAGGCCTGGATTCTTGTCCTGGCTTGCTAATGTTCCCACCCCTGCCTTCTAGCTGGAATTGATGTGATCATTAAATGTGGTAATGTATGTGAAGACGTGCTTTACTTTATGGGTGGGGAACTTTTTTTTTTCTAACGAAGGCTCCAGACCCACAGTGAGGGGAGGAACTCAAGAATCATTCATTTGGGGCCTGGTTTGTGTTTGAGAGAAACCTAGGGAAAATTTAGCAGATCTGCTTTAAAATAGACAACAAAGGATATAAATCTTTATTTTAAAAATGACGAAATATTTTTTTTACTTCCACATTAATTGAAAGACTGACAGACAGACATTTGGAGAAAGAAAAGGTGAAGTAGAGGCACAGCCAGCCGGGGGCATGGAGCATGATGGGAAGAAGCCCAGCAAGGCATGCTGGGTAGAATCTAGTCTTGTCTGACCTCCCCAGGTCCTCAAAGTCCAGCCCTGCTCAGGGAGTCTGCTTGGCCTTCTTCTCCAGGGAAAGAGTCACCATAAGATTATCTTCTTTTATCCTTATTCTTTGAACCATGATGATCATTTAATCCCATAAATTCTGTAGTGAACATTTTCCGTTGGACATATAAAAATATTTTCTTTATTGTGGCTTTAATGAACTTAATATATTATTATTGTTAGCTTTGGAGACCTATAATATATAATAATAATGATAATAGCAGTAACAGTGAACATTTATGTAGTGAACATGCACATTATAGGCCAGCTTTTCATTCTGAGTGTTTCACACACTGCCCAGTGAGGTAGGTGCTATTTGGATCCCCATTTTACAGATAAGCATCTGAAGTCCAAAGAGGTCGAGTAACTTGTCCGAGGTCATTCAAATAGTGAGTGGCTGAGCCAACATATGAAGGCCCTGTACAGAGTTCATACTCCTGGTTCCCATGCCAGGCTGCATAATGTCGTGTAGAGTCTTTGCTGACTCTTCTCATTTCTGGTTTCACTGCAGTATTGAAAAATATTCTGCAGGCTTTCTATAGATTTCTCCATTTTAGATCTCTCTCCTATGGATCTTCCCTTAAGTAACCCCCACAGTTGGTCTGAGTTCCAGGCCTGACGTTCGGCAACTCTGAGATGGAATCCTGGTTTGCTTAATGCCATCCAATGCTGATCGAATTTCCTAAGGTTACTGTTGCACAGTGACTCACCTAAAAAGAAAAAAGTTCTCCAGTATGGAGGTATTTTAGGATATTCTCGCTGAAGACTAGGAATGCTATATTGTGATTCCAGAACTCTAGGCAGATCTAGGGTGCATGACGGACACTCAGTTTGAGGAAACTGCTGAGAATCAGAAGGTCAGTGAAACTATCAGCCACCATTTCCTTTCCACAACATCAGCTCCATCATCTAATAGCAAAGCTTCATCTAATAATTTTCTGAGAATCAAAAGGCGTTAGAACTTTCTCCTCTAATCACCTGGTGTTTACAGAGTTTCTTATATTGATTTAGTCTGCCTGCCGTCCTTCATGCCGTGTCTACTGCGGTACTCATTTGAGGGCAGCTATTTTAAGCTGCTTTGCAATATTTTGAACAATCTTATAACGGACGTACCTTCTTAGTATTTAGATATCTTGGCCCTGCTGTGTGCTCTTGCCTTAGCTGTGGTTTCAAACTTTATTTTAAGCAAAATTTTTCAAAAAACAACTGATCCTTGTTTTCAAGGAATATCATACGTACAAGACCAATATTTAAAACAGATAAAAATGGTGCTTCTGTGGTTAAAAGGCTCTGGAAGGTCCAGAAATTCCACCTACCTGCACCACTGTCTTCCTCCCCGATTTGATGACAGTCAGAAACCACTGACCTGTTGAATAAAGTCCAAGGTACTTATTTAAATGTGTACATAGTTTTATGTAGGGAAACAAAGCAAATCGGGGCTATGAAGATTAAACAAAATGAAGTGTAATGGGGCTGAGGTGCCTCAGAAGGAATATATCTTATTATTCCTTGTGGAACCTATTAGTAAAAAAAGAAACAAAATCTCAACTCAAATTCTCTTGGCCTCTAGCCCAGGACTCCTTCCAATTTATCGTATTATATATTTTTTTATCCATAAAAACATCCACATATACCATTAAGGGAAGTAGACATTGCTCTTAACTAGAAGCTAGTATTCCTGGGGGTTGTGAAGCTGCTTTGTTTTGTGAAATTGCACAGATATGATTTCTTCAGAATTCCTCTTTTACTAAGTGCCCAGTTCTAATTCCCATCATTCAGGGACTTCATTCTTTCATTCATTTCTCCCTCCTTCTGTGTTCATTCTTCCTTCCTATCTTCCTTCCTTCCATCTGTCCATCCATCCAACTCATTGGTATTGAACACCTGCCATGCTAGGTGTTGGGAATATGATGGTGAACAACACGGATATGATGTCTGCTTGCCCTCACAGGGCTTGCATCCCTTACAACCAGTGTGGGATAGTGTGGTGGGGATTCTATAAATGATTCTGGAACTGTTAATAATATTGTTCGTGTGCCCACCTCACTTCCTCCATCATCATTGTTGTCATCAATTTTCAGCAATGGAATAAACCCCCTTGTTATTTTTATTCCAACAAAATCTCAACAGAAACTCAGAATATAAACCAAATATAAGTGGGTGGGTCTGGTTGAAGGCAGAACAGCCCAATTCCTGCCATGCACCCCAAAGCCCCTCTCATGCGGCCCCCAAGGTACCACCCCAGACAGCCAAACCTGAAGGCCACTGACTTGGACTCTATCAGACATTATTTCATATTCTGATAGTGGTATGTAGCTATTCTTCATATATGCTAATATCCCAGCTGTGGAGACAATTAGGATAAATGCGTAAATTCAGGCCCGCAGACCTCAAAAACCAGAGAAATGGGAACTAGCAGCTTCTTTATGTCCTTTCAGTGTCTGGCCCCAGAGCTTGTTGTCTGTGAGCCACCAGAATGGGACCAGGGAACACCCTTGGCAAAGTTTTCTCCAACTTAATCCTGAGACGCATGAATTTTACCTTTCCTGTCCCAGTTGAGATGCTAAAAGCAAAATAACAGCAGAAACAACCCTTCCACCCCCTAAAAAGACAGGACAAAGAAATGTATACACATGTTTGTTTCAAGTTGTTTCTGCAGAATTTGGGTAACTTGAAATTATTTAATCATGCTTAATTTCCTGTAGGGGGAGGGGAAATTTCCCTCATAATTTGAGACAAGTGGCAGTTTTGCCTCTGGCAGATTTAAATGAGAAAAGTGAATGCTGGGATGCTAAACAACCTCATGAATGCACATCTGTGCTCACAGTCTTAATCAACCTCTTTGTTCGGTTTCTATTTTTCTTGTTGCGGCTGTAACAGCCCCAGTGGCGCCTGATGCAGCGACGTTTGCAGAGCAAGGCCCACACACTTTCTCACTTGAATTGCTATCAAGTGCTCCCGCCTCTTGCGAATGGCCACATAGAAAAGGGCCTCGTGCTTGGAATAAAGTGGTCCCAAGGTTTAGAGCTCAAGTTTCCTAAGTTTTTCTAGGTACCTACTTTGATATAGCTGCCTGTGATTCCTCCGTTTAGCCTGCATCTCTGTGGATCTCTTATTCGACTTCCTCTTCTCTCGCCTCTCTTCTCCACCTCTTTACTCCATTCCAGTTTCATATTCAACTCAAAGAAGGCCAAGAATGAGATTTTAAAAAGCCAATAGTAATTCAGTAAACTGATAAAATATTGATATAGGCCGGGGATGGCTGAAATTGCCTAGTAGGTGTGTGTTATTTGGCCCTCTACAGGGTTGAAAAAATTATTTTTTCTTTTTGAAGGCCTTTGGACTTTGCACTTGCTTGCTAATCTGCCACAGTCCCCACCACTCTCTGTTGTACTTCACACCCACTCTACTTCGAATATTTACATTGCTGGCCTACTTTTAGAGTCACTCTGGTCCCTTCTTGAATTCCAGGCTTTTCTAGTCCACCTTCCTTGGGAATCTTCTGTGTGCAATTTGGAATTCTAAAGTATTACAAAAGACATTGCTCCTTGTAGATGTTTACAATCAAATAGGAGGAGTTGTTGAAGCAAATGAAAGATATATACACAGTACTCATTTATAGAAAGCAGTTAAAGAAAATTAGACGTGTGCTCATTGCCAAGAATGCTATGTGATGCCAACCAGTAAATCTTACTAATTTACAAAGGGATTCAGTAGATTTTGTGTGTAACTTGCAAATTTTGCTTGGGTAGTTGATTCTGGCTAATGGAGCGTTATCCTGTTCATAGAGTTCTTGGAGCTGTAAGATGACTTGAAAATGGGTCTTTTATGTCCATATTCTCAAGTGTCAACCTACCTTTCCAGTTATTTCCTTGTTTCTTTCCATATCACCCCCTTTATCATACTTTGTGTCCGTAAGATGGCTTTAGTTCTTCTCATTCGGGCTGTGGACACATCTGCGTATCGAATTCTCCTGACTATTGGTACTGAACTTGGAAAACTGTAATTTGTTTCCTCTTTTAATAAAACCCTCTTTTTTCCCACTTCCCAGCAGATATATGGAATGATCACTCATTTCAGACCGATCCAGATTTGCCACCTGGCTGGAAAAGAATCAACGACATCGCTGGGACCTATTATTGGCACATACCAACTGGAACGACTCAGTGGGAACGCCCTGTCTCCATCCCAGCAGATCTTCAGGGTTCTAGGAAAGGGTCATTTAGTTCTGTAACGCCGTCTCCCACCCCAGAGAACGAGGTAAAATGGAGTGTCTTTTTAACGGCTTAGTAGAGTGGATGTAACTTGTGATTTCTCTTTAGACTTGGTGCTTCTGCCCCAACAGGTCATTGAGGTAAGCTTTTTGATTGTCATGCACGTTGCACTTGAAATCTCAGTAATGCTTCCTCTTCTTAAACAGTGTTAATACCATCTTTCAGGGATGTTTTCATTTTTTAATAGCGTTGATCTCTTGAAACACCATTCCAGGTACAGAAAGTAAGAGGGGCTGATTAGTGGTTAAGATTCCCTGGGGCTCTCTGAGGCAGTACTTTACTCTGTAGGTGCCATTACATGGTGCTGGCTCCATAAAATATTTACACACAGAAGAACTTCTCTTGGCTAGACGTGTTATAATTACTGCATATCTTATTAGCCTTGGGTTCATTTGATTGCATGGAGAGGATGTCTGCAAGAATAACCCTTGAGAGCCCTTAAATGCTTAATTTCTATTTAAAAAAAAAAGAATTGTTTATTTAGCAGAAGTGACATTATTTTAGAAATAATTAACAGCGTAAATTTCTGCTATCCCTGAGGAAGAAATCTGGATGTTTAAACAAAGAACTGAGGCATTTAAAAATTCCATTGTGGTATTTATTAATATAAGGATTCCTGCAGTGGACCTTTGTGAATTCTGATAAAATATTCAAGAGAATTATGGTTGGAAAAGGTCACAATTAAGTAATGGCTTTTTTTGAGAAAAGTGGTTTGATCCCTGACACCCAGGCATTTCTGTCTTTTTCTGACCATAGTCTTTGTTCTTTAAACAACCTATTTTCTTTTACTTTGAGGACTTGGAGGGTATTTGAACTCCATCTCCTACCTGCAAAGCTTCTTTATATATTTGCAACTATTATCACCCTTCCTATCTTTGAAAGTAGACATCTTGTTTCCTACATCTTTGATTATTTACTTGCTCTTCTCTGAGAGGCAGTAAGACCTATATTCCAACCACATTCCTGCTGTTACTGAGCTGCGGCATCTAACTTACCTGGCGTGGGCCTCAGATTCTCCATCTTTCAAGTGGGTGGGTTGGGACAAGCTCTACCCTCATTGGTAGACAAGGAAGGGCCTTGGTTTGTTGGTACTTGGCCCTGATAATCAGGCACATGCTTTAGTTCCCCTGAACCACATAGGATTTTGTTGCTTGTCACTGGGCGGTTTTGATAACTGTTTATTGAAGCATAGTATTCCTACTCCCTAAGCAAATTTCATTCAGTCGTTTATTCATCTTATGTTAGGTTAAAGATGCACCAACACAGCCCTGGTCCTCAAGGAACGTAGCATGAAGTAGAGTCCTCTTCCTGTTTCAGCCCAGTTCATCTTGCCCTTTCTCCTTGGACCACAGGCCTCCCAGAAGCCACCCTGGCTGGATGCAGCCCCTGCTCTCACTAAGGCTCAGCTATCCTCTCTCCTTCCTTCCTGTACATCTTTTCTCTTGGCATCTCTGTTAGAATCTCATTCTTCATTCCAGGACTTTATTCTTCTATTGCAGCCCTTTAACCATCTTCACCAACAGGGGGTGCCCTACAACCAGAGAATGCCAGTGTGGGAAGGGACTATCTGATACCAGTATCCATGCATTACAGACAGGGAAACTGAGGCACAGAGAGGTCAGTGACCACTGGGTCTAGAACTCAGAGTTTCTGAATCCTCCTGAATCCTGGACCAGAATGCTTCTCACTCAACTTCCCTGGCTTCAGGATTTCAGCCTACTCTGCTTTCTTATTGTCCCAAAGATAGGGAGATTAGAGTAACTTTGAGATATTATTTCTGTTTGATGAAGATCTTATCTTCTCAATGTAGAAGAAATGAAGTCCTTTTTAAAGGCTGCCTCCTGAGGCCATGGGGTGGCTGTGATGGAGTCGAAGGAGGGCATCCTGAGGTTTATGTGGCTGGATTTTTTTTTTTGCTGGGAAAGATTTGTGCTGAGCTAACATGTGTTACCAATCTTCCTCTCCCATTCTTTTTTTTCTTCCTCAAAGCCTCAGTGCATAGTTGTATGTTCTAGTTGTAAGTCCTTCTAGTTCTTCTATGTGAGACGCACCCACAGCATGGCCCCTGACAGACGAGTGGTGTGATTCTGCACCTGGGAACTGAACCCGGGCCGCTGAAGCGGAGTGCGTGGAACTTTAAGGCCATCAGGGCTGGCTCTCTGTGGCCTCCGTGTTTTCTGCAAAAAGTCTTGGGAAGAATGCAGCACAGGTGGGCAGCAGGCCCTAGGGAAAATTGTCAGGTAGCAGAGTTCACCTCTAGTCCCTGAGCCTCCCTCTGATGCCCACTTCTGCCTGTTCTTCCCCCTTCTCTATGCCTGCTTCCCACTCCCATCTGCTGTTCAGGGTCTCTTCCCGGGCTTAGATTGTGCCCCATGGCCCTCCCTCCCCACTGGCTCTCCTAGAGTTCAGTGTTTCCCTCAGGCATCGCCGATGCTCAGGCTCCCAGCTGCTATTCATGACTTACGGTGGTTTTCAGTGTATTTTCATTAATGTCATTTCATTTGCTCCCTTCAAGACTCATGTGGCAGAGAAGACAGCTATTATATTCCCCATTTAAGAAAAGAGTTAACTGAGGCTCAATGAGTTGAGTAACCATGCAGCTGGTGTTAGGCTGGGCATACATCCAGTTCTCTGACTCGAGATCCTGTACTCTGCCCAGTACCATCTGAATTTCCACCTTGCTGTTGGTTCCATTGCTTCCTTCTGCTGCTAACCAAGCCATGGGGTTGACAAAGTCTTATCCCTCCAAGGAACTTTGTTAATGGATGCCTATTTTTTGAAGTTTCAGAGAGAGAGAGAGCGACTCATGTCCAGCCAGCACTTTAATAGACCGATGGGATAGATGTTTTTCAGGTTGATCTTTCAGTTGTTCCCTTCGTACACATTTTTCTGTCTGTCCATAAGGCCATTTATTAAGTCAAAGAACTGAGCATATTTAAAAGGCAGTAAATTAAAATCATAGAGGCAAAGGGATGAGCAGATAGAGAGAAAAGGAGGGAGAGAGTTGGAGAAAAGACACAGCCTACCACATACCCAAGACATGTAGACACTGACATGGATATTAAACAAGAGGCACTAAGGGTAATTGAGAGTATACAATGCCAGGCTCATGCCTTATCGCTCTATTCCTCATAAAACCCTATGCATCTGGGACTATAGTTGTCATTCCCATTTTACATTTGACAACATTGAGACACAGAGATGTGAAGGAGCTTGCCCAAGATCACACACCTAATATGTGGTGGAGTCAAGTTTGAATGAAGGTCTGCTGACCCCCATCCCTACTCCAGGCTTCACTATCTGTATATCAGCAGTCTTGGAGAGCCTCAGATCTCTTCATCTCACCCCAAGGGAGGGCTGTGTCATATGTAGAGCTTTCTAGAAAATGACTTCTCTTGATAACATTGTCTCAGGTGCTAATAACAGTTGAAGAGAAATGTTTATTTCTCTGACACCGTTTCTTTGGTCTCTAAATAGAATCTATTTCAACTAATTTGGAAACATGAGAGAAAGCAAAATGTGGAGGGCGAGAAGAAACTTGTAATATGTTGTGTTAGAAATGCATATTTTATTCAGCTTTTTCCTGAGCTGGCTTTTAAAGAAAAATTGCATAAATAAGTGCCAAATCTGTTGACTAAGCTTCATATAAGTTTAGGACTGAAAGCTTCCTTACAGTTTGAACATTTTACATTTCACATTCCAAAGTTCACTGGGGAAGTGTTAAGCACAGCGGATAATGTTTCCTCTGCACATGCCAGCAGTATTTTTGAAAGTTTATACACTGGCCGGGAAGCATTTGCTGCTGAAATTTGGCCCATGATGATCTCCCCCCAATCCATTGATTTGTTCCAAATTACTTGGATCTTGAATTTGAGAGAGAAGAGGGAGCCACACAAGATATTTTTACGAATACTGTTGGCCAGTAGTCAGGTCTTACTTATAATCTTTCCAGCTGACGGTGTTTCCCAGTTCCTTAAGAAGAGAGTATGGAGGAGAAAGTAGGTCTGAAGCAAGGGAAGGTCAAATTGTTTCTCAGGACTCTGATCTCTTCTTGATCATAATTCACTCTATCGCTGCATTGCTCATGGTGTCTCTGGGAGCCCTGAGCAGCTAACTCCCTAGGAGGGCAAAATGCATGTATTACATTAGAACCTACCATTTTCATATACACTTAGACATAAGATGACAACATAAAGGGGCCAGTCTATCATCATTTTACTGAACTTCTTGATCCAGTCAAGTAATCATGACATTTTAGAGCTGGGAAGAACCTTCAAGAAAGGCCTAGTGAATGCTACAGCAGTATTTCTCAGCCTTGGAGCTAAGGACTGTAGCCATGATGACCTCTGGGGCTTGTAGAACATGCTGGTTCCTTGGTCCTACCCCAGGCCGCTGAGCTAGACTCTCCGAGGTGGGACCTGGGAATCTGCCTTTATCATAAGCTTTCCGGGTGTTTCTCTGCTGAGTTAGTACAAGAGCCAGTCCTCTAGTGAATCTGGTCTCCCTGTTTTTATTAATGTTACTTCCTCTTAAATTCTTTGGCCTCATCCTGGCGTCTCCTGGGAATTATTGCTCTCACCCCTCCGCTTTGAAAGCCCTTATTCTGTAGTGTCTCTTTGTAGTATTATTACTTGTGGCATGTCAGTCTCCCTCCTGAGGGGTCAGGACCTGTGCCCCCCATCTTGTGTCCCCAACACGTGGCACATGGTGAAGTTCATTAAATGTTTGCTGAATGAAGAAATACACAGCTTCAGAGCTGAGGGAGCTCTTAGTTGGCTTGCTGTGGTGGGAAAGCCAGCACTAGAGCCCTGGGCCTCCTGCCCCTTCCCTAGCTTACCGTTTCTACATTGCACTGCTGCTCATGGAGACTCATGTAATCACACAAGCGTTTGTAAATCTGTTTACTAGTTTGATATATCTGTATTTTTTTTACTTCTCTGGATTGCGTTTGCATGATAAATCATAACTCTATTCTTCTAATAATGTTGCATCCAACAAAACACATGTTAAAAAGAAGGAAAAATAGACACACATATGTGGATACAATGCTCATGAACATTGCCTGCCTGTTCTTTGGAATTCCAGAATTCCAGGTACTCTGCCATGTATCAGGGCCACACAAACCAAGGCTCAAGATCTTGACAAAAGAGGATTAAGAAGCATTAAGTCATAACGCTTTGTAGTCCATAGGCCCCCAAACTTTTTATTCTGACAAATGGCCTTGTTTCTTTTCTCCATGGAAAGAGTAGAGGGTAAGGAAACGTCCATTTCCTGGGCACCTTCAGGCAGCCAGTCCCCAGGCTGAGGGCTGACATTCTTGATCTCACTCTGTCCACGCTCTGATTGGAGCTCATCTTAGCCCTGTTTGACAGACAAGGAACTGAGCTCACAGAGCAAGTGTGAGCAGAGGTAGGATTTGAACCCAAGCTTTCCAGCAGGCTGTGTTAACTTCAGAACTTCTGAAGTGCACACAGAGATGACGTGATTACAACTTCACCAAAGCCCCTGTAGAACATTCAAATGCTTTTCCCTCTACCTAAGTTCTCAGCAGGTTCGACCCTCCACCCTTGCTCTCCAGTTTGCATTTGATACCACTGTGTAGAGACTTTCTTAGCACCTCATAGGGACTTTCTCATACTCTCAGAACCCATCCTCAAGAACACCCTGTGGGCACTGTCAAAGGATGAACTCCAGTATTAGCTTTTTTCCTGAAGAAGGACAAAGGCATCATTTTTGTTTGATTTGTGGAATTGCTTTCCAAGATCCCAGAAGAGAAGTATGGAAGAAAAAAGTGCTCAGCAGTCAAGGTTATACAATTGGTTTCCCTTAGTGGGTCCACCCTGGCACGGCTTCTGCTGTGTGGTCATGAGTATGCCATGCTGGAAGATCATGAAGTGTCATGATGGGCGCCGGGCTCAAGGCACTGGGTCAGTGTCCGCTGTCTCTGAGGGGCTAGGGCTCCAGGGCTCTCCCAGAACTGAGTGTGATCACTGTAATCAGGGTCAGGGGTGCTGCAGCCTGGGCAAGGGCAAGATGAGCACCATGAGAGGATGTGCCCAGCTATGACTCTGGCACCAGAACATCTCTCAGCTGTACGAGGCTTTAGCTGCACTGCCTGCAAGATTATCCGTTGGGAGGTCATTGCTCATGGAAGATGGTCTCTGTTCTTCCGTAACGACCCTTTTTCCCTTTCTCTGTGTCTGTGTCTTTCCTGAGGCGTGTTGCACCACCTGCCTTTTCGTCTCTTATTGTCTCTGTCTCTTCTCTTCTTTCGTCTCTCACTCCCGCCACCCAGACTACAGGCTGGGGTGGCTGCAGAACCAAAGACTCTGTTGGGTTGTTTTTTAAAAAAACTTACTAGCTAAAATATTGTATTTTCTCTTCTTAATTAAAAAAATTAGATGAATAGAATATGTAGGTCTTAAAATTTAAGACAAATTGTTTTTTTCTTTCATTGCCCTTAATTATAAAAAGGAAAAATCATGGTCACTTATACAGGGGAGAAAATTTCTGAAAATGAATATTTTTAAATAGAGGAGGGAAAATAGGTCTTTTGGCCTAGTCATAACATATAATGTTAGTCCAATTTTTCCTTACCTGAGTTTTGTACTAAAGGGTTTCTTTAGGAGTACCCATGTTTTTTAAGCATTTGGAAAATCACTGTATAGGGCCTTTGTTTATTTAAATCAGGAAAAGGTGATTGTTGGAAGTTTGCCAGCTGACTCATGTCTCTGTGGCATAAGAGCTAGAGTCATATAGTCGTAGAACTATAATCAACTTTTACTTTACAGGGACCCCTACACCCAAAGAGTAAATACATAAAAAATTTTTTAAACCACACACACATACAGAGAACTGTTTTAATTAAATGCTAAAGGTTTTCTGAATACTTGTTTTAAAAAATATTCTTTCTTTCTAGTTCCAACACAGTGTCTCTTGAGGATAGTTTTTGATTTCAGATTCCTTTTGTTAAACACCCACTCTTTTTTTTAATTTCTCCAACAAGAACATGATTACCTTGAGCGTTCCTAATTCACCATCTGATATCCTTTTTCAATGTTCAATATAAATGAAAAACAAATAGTGCTCACATGTAAACAGTGATGACAATTTGGGGTCAAATAGGCCTGTTTTGCTTTTTAAAAAGAAATTTTAGCTAAAAATTTTTGATCTTTCAGGTTCTTATCCTGATTACTAAACGATGGTGATTCTAAACCTTTCTTGGTCACTGGCCCCTCTGAAAATATGAGAAAAGTTGGGGATCTTCTCCCCAGGAAAACACACATGCACAGAAGCCCACATCCATTTCAGGGGGTTCACAGGTCCCCTCAGGTGACTGAGCACTGCTTTTGGGGATGGAGTAAGGAGAGATAAGGCAAAATTCCTGCTCTTTTCCTCAATAAAACAGATTATTTAAAAAAAAAAAATACAGTGGCCTAAATTCTATTTTATATTGAAAAACTGCAGTTCAGGTGCCCAGTCCAACATAGAAAGCAACAGTGACACCACTGTGCAATAGTGATAATGGATCTAAATTTGCAATGACTGCCCTCAGAGTCCTACAGAGTCAAATAAATGTGTCTTTCAACACCTGGGACATTTGACCTTAGCTGCTTCTGCTTTGAGTGGTTTTAAAAAATTGTATTAATGTTGTCAGAAAAAGTTACGGGCCACTGTTCCCTTCTCATTTGCAAAGAACTTTAGTTGAAAAGTTATTTGAAAAGTTTCCGTTGTTGATTTATTATCTAAGAAAAGAGATTTGCCTGACAAATCAGTGGAACAAATTCATAAAGATGTCCCTGGGTGTTTCATTAGTATTGTGTTTTTCCCCAAATCTTAGATGAAAAATATTTGAATAATTACTCAATAGAGTAAAAAGAAAACAATGGTTCCTTGTTGTCCAAGGTGGATGGAAGGAGTTGTTTAGATTCAAAGGTCAACTGCAAGAATTCTGCCAACAAGGCAAGGCTTCGTGTTTTGTTCTATAATTATGTTTAGAAAATCATTTCATGATCAAATATTAATTTGTGAAGAGGTTTGTGTGGCAAGGAAGTAGGGCTTTTTATGAATTAGAGGAATTTACATTAGATTGTTTAGGGCTGTTTTTTGCTGGGTTAAATCTCAGCAAGATGTTGAGGTCAGGCTGTGTTCCTTACTCTCGTTCTCCTTTATGGTCTTTTTTAAGTGAAAATAATTTGACCTGCAGTTTTTTTATGCCCTTAGCCACGGATACTCCCCAGTTTCCAAACCAGCATGTTGACAAGCATCATCCCTTATTCTACCCCCACCTCCAGAAAACAGTTCTGTTGGGTTAATGGGAGAGAAAAGGTTCTTATGGAATTAGGGACGATAGGCATTTAACATTTGGAAGTATATTGTGTGCTTTTAAGGCCACATTTAGAAAATAACTTCACTGTCTGCTACTAATATTCAGTCCTGTGTTTTGGTGAGTGATTAAAGCTCCATTTCTTTTCTCCTGCCGGGTCTTCAGGTGATAACCTAGATCTAGACAGAGTGAGCTACGTTGCTGTTAGAGTGAATTTGTTCCCTAACCCATCCTGTGAATATCAATGCTAACAACAGTGTCTTGTGTTTTTTTTTTTCCTTTTTTGTCTTTCCTTTCCTTTCTTTCTTTTTTTTTAAATCAATGTGCTTTTTCCTATGTGAATAATTATATGTCTAGAAACAGCCATGGAGTGATTTTGCTGTTCTGAATGGGGGAAAGATTAATAGTGACATTTGGAAGGCAAGTATATTGTCAGATTTTAGCTCATTTAATATTGTGTCCTTTTGCATGGCTGTGGCTGTATATTTTTCTTCTTCATGACTGTCGTGCATTCTGCAGGGACCGAGTGATGGGGCTTCTTGCTAGGGCTGTCCAGCTCACACACATGTTGCCTTTTTTTGATGTCTCCCGTGAATGACTTCAAGCTGATTGCCCCAGGTTCCCCATTGTCTTGTAAGAACAGCGCTTGCACCGAGTCAGCACCCGGCAGTCCTTGCATGCATGCCTTTCTCTGCCTAAGCTCACGTACACTCTCTGCCTCATGCCGGGAGGACTTTTCTCGCCTTTGATATATGGGGCCCTGTCCTCCCCCTTTCTCTAGTAACAGGGATCTGTTTTCCTCTAGGATTTGCATGCCGCCACAGTTAACCCGGACCCCAGCTTAAAAGAGTTTGAAGGAGCAACACTACGTTACGCATCTTTGAAACTCAGGTAGGACATTGGAAGGACCTGCCGTGATGGGTGGCTTTGTGCAGCTAGAGTTTGCAGTAGAATTCTAAGTCCAATTTTCTGTTTTTCTTTCTAGAAATGCTCCACATGCTGATGATGACGATTCTTGTAGTATCAACAGTGACCCAGAAGCCAAGGTTTGTAAGAAACGTGCTTTCAGCCACCAGCTTATATTCTTGCATCCAAGTCATGACTTTGGATAATGGCCCAGTTTTTATAAACCATCAACTCAGAGCCACTTAATAAGTAATTATTCCTCCATCTTCTCTCTTTCCTAATCTCCCTACACTTAAAGTAAATCCCTAGGCCAAGTCAGGTTTAGGAGGATTTCTATCATCAAGACTCTGCCTGTGTCTCGTATATCAGTTCTTCGCACAATGTGATAAGTTAAAATTATTGTTTGAATGGGTGAGCTTCAGAAGCCTTTGAAGATAAACCAGGCTCTGCCTTGCAATGCAGTGGGAGGGGTGGTTGAACAGGTGGTGTGAGACCCTTGTGCCTACCTCCTCCAGGGCAGCCTCACACCTGTGCAGGGTGAAACCTCTGCCATCGCTGTCATAAACAGGGGCGTTTTGTGATGGAAAGTGAGAGTGAACTTTTGCTTCTGGACTTCTGGTGGGGCACCAGCAGGGCCAGCATTTTTTTTTTTTTAAAGATTTTATTTATTTATTTATTTCCCCCCCAAAGCCCCAGTAGATAGTTGTATGTCATAGCTGCACATCCTTCTAGTTGCTGTATGTGGGACGCGGCCTCAGCATGGCCGGAGAAGTGGTGTATCGGTGCACACCCGGGATCCGAACCCGGGCTGCCAGCAGCAGAGCGCATGCACTTAACCGCTAAGCCACTGGGCCGGCAGGGCCAGCATTAAGGGCATGTGGCCAGTGCAGTTCTCCTGAGAATCAGGGCCCCATGTAAGGGGTTTTAATGCTGTGTGGTTGCCGTCTCGCAATTGTTAATAATTTTATCTTTGAATTTGTGTTTTATAAGTGAAGTCTGATGGGGCAATGGAGTGCAGCAGGGGGTTGGAGCCTTGGCTGATGCACAGTCCTGCCACCTCCCTACCTCTTTGGGTGGTCCTTAGCTGCCTGTTTCCCTGCTCCTCGGCACCCCAGGCCCTGCCAGAACTCCCCATCCCTGCCCCCACCCAGCAACTGCTACTGCCTTCCTCCCCAGTAGGAGCCTAGGTGTGAGCATGGTGAGAGTTGGCATCGAGCACGCAATCTCCATGGTGTTTCTGGAAGGGGCAAAGGAGTAGCCTGCCCAGCCCAGGCTTACAGCACCTGGTATATTCAGCGGGTGACTCAGTGGGGGTGAGGCCTGCCTACTCCCAATCTAGGTACCTAGCATGTTCTAGCACAGATGTTGCAACACACTTGAGGGTCACCCGTCTCAAGTGGGGGTGGGGGTGGTAGGTGCATAGGAAAGGGGGCTCCCTGGCTCCATTCCCCACCCCCTGTCAGGGCATGGGGCGTTGGTCCAGCAGCTGGAAGGAGGGGGAGCCCAGAAGCTGATGGTCTCTGGGAATGGGCAGGGCCCCTGGGCACCTGTAATAGTCTGCGCTCACCCTGCAAGTATGCCTGTGCCCGAAGGAGCATGACGTTAAATAACAACTAAAAAACATCCTAACGGGTGGAGAGAGAATGCAGAAGAAAGGAAAAAGTTTCATGTTTTAGTACTTTTTATATTTTTCCTGCTTTTTGAGGAAGGGGCCCTGCATTTTTATTTTGCACACTTCATTTTCATTTGCATATGTAGCTGGTCCTACATATTTTTTCTGAATCCCAAGGTAGATGTGTGTCTATGAATAAAATAGCAAGTAGTTTCCCTTAGTAGTAGCTAAGTGGGGAACACTGTGCAGGTTCAAAACCTTGACTCCTTTGCCAGAAACTACCATATTGCCTTTGGTTCTGTAAGAGTCTCAGGGCTCGCAGTGGAAATCTCCGCTGCTCCTGGTCTACTCAGCTTCAAGCTAAGCACAGCCTGATCGGATGAAGGCCACTCCAGAGCCAGCAGTGTTCTGAACAAGTCCTTGGGCTGCTGCTAACATGTTGGGCTTTAAAGATAAATTTTATGGCAAGGAAGGGATGCAGTAAAACAGGAAGGCAGGCTGTGAATAATTTGCTTTGCCATCGGGTGTTTTACAACGGCTATCAGCAAAGCCTGGAGGAGGAGAGGCGAGCAGCAGCGGTATCTCTGCCCACCGCCAGGGCCAGGGCAGTGACGTCAGTAAAGCCACCCTGTGAAATTGACAGGAGCGGGTGGGGAGGGTGATGCATGGAATGGATATCGAATTGGTAACAGGAATAGAAGGCCTAGTTGAAATATTACCTATGTCAGTGCTTTCTCTTTTTTCCTCCCAGTTGTATTGCTTAGTGAATTCTTTATCTGCCACCTTTCTATTGCCAGCGTGTCTGTTCCAATACCTGTTGAATTTGTTCATATTAATAAGGAGGCTCAGCTTTGTCATAAGTTACTGAAGTTACACTTAGTTCTAAACAAAAAAGTATGTGTGTTGCATTTGTTTTAAATCCTACTTTGTTCCATAAAAGATCTGAGAAGACTTATAAGAACAAATGCTTTCTTAAAAAGGCGCAGAAAATACAAGGGAATAAGCGGTGCACCTGTCTGTACTGGGACGATAGATGGAGTTAGGACAGATCAAACTCGGGAGAAGGGAAAACGTGGCTTTTCAGATCAGAGGACTCTGCATAGTTACGAAAATTGACCTTCAGGTTCATTTTTGTGCTTCTTGGTGATTATTTACATTGGGGATTCTTAAGGTTGATGGCATGAATCTCTAAGGGCAACTCAGAATCTTGAAAGGATTTCTGCAAACTTCGTGCTTCCAACTGCCCCCGCTGCACCCTAGATTCTGAAGGTCCCCTGTGCTGTAGAAAGTCACTGTCACTCTTGAGGACCGCAAGCGTGTTGGCAGGGGAAAAGGGTTTCAGAACCTTCCTTTATATGAATCACACAGCACATAAGGCAAAAACATCCCAGTTCCTTATGGAATGTGATGGTTTTTCTAGTGCTTCATTATAAAATAATTGTAATAATTAATATTTATTGAGTGCTAACATTTTGCCAGGCATGGTCCTAAAAACTTTATTCCTATTGACTCTAATCTCACAAAAATTCAGTGGGCTAAGTATCATTATCTCCATATGGCAGATGTGGAAACCGAGGCATTGAAAGGTTAACAGCTAGTAAGTAGTAGAGTCAGGATTTGAATCCAGGCCATTTGGCTCCAGAGCCCATGCTCACTAGACTGTCTAAAGAAGAGTGTCACTTGGAGCTTCATTTGGGGACCACCATCAAATAATGTGATCAATGTCCTCAACGATATTCCAAATACGTAATATATAGAAATTTGGATTTTGACAGTTGGTATTTCATGGCATTACTCATTGGAAGCAAAGGATAAACACCCCAGCAAAATTTATTTCATGTAAATTGGTGAAGGATTATGACAGTGTGGACCAGCTTTCTGGTCAGACTTCAGGCAGAGATGAACTCTAGACTCTAGAAGTGGAATGGGTGGGCTGCAGGTTTTTTCAGACCATCTCTCATAGTTTAATTTCAACTAGGCTTATGATAAAAGTTGGGCCAGAACAGGAGGAAGCCGGGGGCTGGAGTGGAGCTAAGCCGCATTGCTGGGGATTGGCAGAGCTACACACTTTAGGTCCACCGTGCAGGTGGCGGGTTGACATCTCAGGAAATTGAGGAGTCTCGCTGTACTTCTCTGGATGCAGGGTCCCTCCACTCACTAATGGAATTGGGCCCAGGGAAGGCCAAGACGATCTTTCAGAATTACAATTATTTCAAAATCCAACAGCCCTAAATGAAATTACTTTTTACCAATTTTGAAGATGTGAGTGAGTTGAGAACTGACTTGAATGAAGCCACTTTGGAAAAGCTCCCCATCACCACCACCCTCTGTCGTCCCCCATCTGCCCTCTTAGTCACTTCTCGCCTGTTTAGTGCTGCCTCGGGCACCTAAAAATATTTAATTTCATGTATGATGGAATTCTAAATATAGTCCCTGAGAAATGATTACTAAAAAGATGATTATAGAAAATATATGCCCTACGCCCTAAATGAAATTTACATGCTAAAAAAATAAAAATCATTTTTAGACTATCAGGATGTGGATACTTGGAACTCTCTCCAGCCACTGAGTCTGAGCATCTTGATAATCAGTTGTTCAGTGAAACCTCTAAACAGCAGTGGCGACGTAAAATGACCTGTACACGTGCACATATGCACTCTCTCTCCCCCTCAGAAAAGCAAAGTATATTTGTAACTCTGAAAATGCTTTTTGAGCCTACCTAATTTTTTATACAATAAATATTTTTTGTAGTTGATAGCAATATGTGTGTGTTTGTGTATAATTCTGAGCCCTTTAACTTTTTATTTTAAAATAATTATAGATTTATAGAAGAGTCGCAAAGATTGAGTTTCCATATACCCTTCACCTTGCTTTCCCTAAAAACATCTTTGTAATCATGGTACAATGATCAAAACTAGGAAATTAGTGTTGATACCATATTATTGACTAAACTATAGGCTTTATTCACATTTTCCCATTTTTTCCACTAATGTCCTTTTTCTGTTCCTGGACCCAATTTAGATACACATTGCATTTACTGAGCTCTTTAAAAATTATTCACATATTCCTTTCCACAATTCTCAGATTTGTCATTCTTAATTCCATTATAATATTCCATTTAATTAATAGCGCCATAGTCTGTCTAGGCACCCAGTGGCCACAAGAGCAATTTCCAGTACTACAGAGCAGATAGCTACAACTTCATAAAAATAGGTGACTTTTTTCTTTTAAATTAGTGTTTCAGTATAGGTTGCTAAAACGGGTATTACCAGGTCAAAGGCTATCAGTTTATGGCTTCTGTCACTTATTGCAAAATTGCTTTTCAGAAAGGCTATAGCAGCATGTAATTCCATCAGTAATAGCCTAGAAAACACCTCTTTGTCCACCGCCCACTATACTCTAGGCCTTGTCATTTTATTTATTCATCTTTGTTTTATTGCATGTTAGCCATTATCTCCTAGTATAAAATGTCCGCTTCTCAAATTATCATCAAGAAAGGGCATTTCTTATAAAACTCTGTGTTTCTGTCCATTCTTGTCCAGTTTTTCCCCTTATTTTCTATGCATTTTTTAAAATAAAATTTTTATTTTGGAATAATTCTAGATTTACCAAAAAGTTACGAAGACAGTAAAGCAAGTTCCTGTATATCCTTCACGCAGCCTCCCTCACGTCCTGTCTTACCTAACCCTAGTACACATGTCAAAACTAAGAAATTAACAGTGGTACAAAACTATTAACTAACACCTTATTCTGATTTTATCAGTTTTTCTTCTAATGTCCTTTTTCTGTTCCAGAATCTAATTCAAGATATCACATTGAGTTTAGTCCCTATGCATTTTTATTTTTTATTTATTTATTTATTTATTTATTTTTTTCTGTGAGGAAGATCAGCCCTGAGCTAACATCCATGCCAATCCTCTTTTTGCTGAGGAAGACCGGCTCTGAGCTAACATCTATT